CTGTGACTTTGACCAAGGGTTGAGCCACATGAGTAGAAAGGCTCGGATTACAATGGAACCAAGTCAACCCTTATTGTGTTGACCTCGAGGGTCTGGTCTTATACCAGAGGTTTTAGGCTCTTTTCTCATGGTCCTAAATTAGCAGAAGGACCTACCTGAAGCCAGCAGAGACCTACCTGCAGCCTCACTAATGCAGACACATTAGGGCATGGACAGATGGGTCTATAGCAAGGCAGGCCTGGCAGCAGCGTTGAATAGCAGCAAACCCAGTGTGCTTGTATGAGGTTTGGCAATTAAGTTCATGCACTTGCCACTGTGTGCTTACCTTGGCAGCACTATACAAACAACTTGGTAAGGTTTCATAACCTTGGTATATCAGTGTCTCACAATCATGTTCATATTGTTGTACAGTGGTATCTTTCTAACTGGTGTTAATTATTATTGTGTTTTGTGTGCCATTATGAGAATGCTGAAGCTTGAATTAGAGCAACAAACAAACTTTTGTAAATTTATTTTGTTATTATTGGTTGTTGTTGAGACGGAGTCCCACCCTATGCCCTGAGCAGAGTGCAATAGTGTCATAGCTCACTGCAATCTCAGACTCGGGCTGTGGGCATCCTACTGCTTCAGCCTCTAGAAACCACTGGGATTACAGGCTCTCTCTTGGGTGCCCGGCTGGGTTTTTCATTTTTTTATGAGTCAGGGTCTCACTCTCACTCAGACAAGTCTCAAACTCCTGAGCTCAAGCAATTCTCCCACCTCCCACAGTGCTGGGATTACAGGCATGAGCCACTGTGCTCAGCGCAAATTTCTTTTTAAACGTGGCAAGAGTGAAAGTAAAATCAGGGACATGTTGGTCCAAGTTTATGGAAATAATGCCATGAAGAAAATGGCAGTGTACAAATGCATTAAACATTTTTCTGAGGTGAGAGAAAGCATCACTGATGAAGAGAAGTCAGGGTAGCCAGTAATGAGCAGAACTGATGATGACATTGCAGAAATTCATGGAACTGTGAGTCAAAATCATTGACTGAATATGAGAAGCATAGCAGACCAAATAAACATCAATAGAGAAATAGGAAAACCTTAACTGAAAATCTTGGCCAACAACTTATGGCTCTTGCATCACAACAATGCACCAGCTCATATAGCACTGTCTGTAAGGGAGTTTTAGCCCATAAACAAATAATTATATTAGAATACCCTCTCTTTTCAGCCTATCTGGCCCCCAGTGACTTTTTCTTTACCAGAAGATGACGGAAATATTGAAAGAAAAACATTTTGAAAACATTCAGGACATCAAGGGTAACATAATGACAGATCTGATGGTCATTCCAGAAAATAGTTCCAAAATTGCTTTGAAGGGTGAACTAGGTGCTGGCATCAGTGCATAGCTTCCCAAAGGGAGTACTTTGAAGGTGACTATAATGTTATTCAGCAATGAGGTATGTAGCACTTTTTCTAGGATAAGCTGCATAATTGTCAGACCTTGTAATTCTCAGTGAAGGGATAAGATCCTTCCAAAAAAGATTTGATGAAGGATGTGGTCAGTTTGCCAAAAGCAGGTCTTTTTACTGGTCTGTCTTGCCTAGGCCCTACAACTCTTCTAATGTCCCACCCACCTGTCTGTGCCTACCACATGTACACAGGCCCCCAAATCAACCTGTTGCTATTTCTTGAAATATCAACCTTCTTTTTCCTCACCTGTCAGCCCCACCTCAGACTCAAACCTTCTGTTCCTAACTAGAGGACCAATCCTGTCCTGGGAGTGTCAAGGCGTGTCAGGCATATGCTTAGTGGGCTCTCATCTACACTAGTGAATTCACTTAATTTTTTTTTAATTCACAAGTCTGTGTTCTTACCAATCTTAAGTAATTTAGGTTTCTTAATCCAAAGAGGATTACGAAAAGCCCATTTAGGATTGACTCTTTTTTATTGGACCATGTACCTTCAGCAGCTATCAAGAGAGGATTCTTGGGATTGTTTTGGCATTATGACACTCTCTTTTTGTAATTCTAATAAGCAGCCAATTTCATGTTGACATCTCAGTTTCTGCCAAATGCTATTGTATTTCTTTGAAGAAATGACTGAGTTCTCCTAATGTTAAAAATATGTTGGGGTTTTAAACCTATACCTTTTGGTGAGCTGGTGCCATGGGAATTAGGGAATCCATTGCAAATGACTGTCCTGTAGGCTATGTGCTACATCAAGTGGTGTGTGGGTCAGTGTCTGATGATAAGCTGGTGCACCGAACTGTAGTTCCAACCCTGCGCAGTAGGGTAGCAGAGAGCAGGCACTTCCACTATTGGCTTCTGGTTTGCACCAGGCTGCTATTCACCCCTCTTCCCTCCTTTCCTCCAGGCTATCATTAAATAGTTTTGCTGCACAGGCCCCTTAGGCTTTTAGCAAGATAAACCCAGCCTGGAGTGAAACTGGCTTTAACTTCTTTCATTCTCTGTGGTCCTTGATGAACAGACAAAGCCACCAATCATTCAAAATGACTGGGAATCTTAAATAAGTTATGTACTTTCAAGGTATTGGAACAAACTGTGGAGATAAGTTAAATGAACTATCCTGGTAGAGAAAGAAATGATAAAGATCTTTTTGTGTTATTTGTTCTGTTTTAAAGTGCAATTGAGATGACCCTGATTTCAAATTCAAAAGAGTTATTTAAATTTAAACTGGGGGGAAAATCTCACTTTTTAAGTGCTTTCTGTTTGGCTATCCTCAATCCTATCCACTTTTCATTTCATGCTGGCATTGTTTGGGTAAAGCCAAGTCTCAGTATCTTGTTTGCATTGCTATGACTTTTTATGCTCAAGCTAAAACCCTGATAGAAGAGCTTATTCTACCTTGTCTTTGCTAGTGCCACTACCTAAGTAGAAATGGGCAAGAGTGGCCCCGGCTACAAGCTGCCAGCACTGCCCAGCCTTCAGAGGACTATGGCAGGCACCACAGTGGTTCATATGTGGCACAGGCAACAGTGACAGTGCACCTCCCAAGGCCCAGATGAGAAGCAGGAGGAGCTCATAGAAGGGAGGAGAGGGAAAGAACGTGTGGTAAATCAGGTGAGAGTGCTATAACGCCAGCTACTCTCCCACTGCACAGCAGTTTCCTGTCCGAGCATGAAAGGAAGCAGGGAGCATGAAAGGAAGGAGGTGCGGACAGAGAGGAGCTCCCAGTGCAATCAGCAGGAGGTCTGATGGCCACACATTGTCCTGACACTGGCACTCCCACAGGCAGGAGATTTGTGCAGAAGGGAGAGAGGCACAAGGCCCAGTCAGTCATGCAGAGAACTCAGTGCCACAGAGAAGTGAGGTTTCATCCTGGAGCCCTGATGCCTTTCCCTGCTCCAAAAAAAGGCTTCTGGCTGCCTGCAACCTCTGGAAAGCAGATTGTCAGGAAGTCAGCCTGTGCTCACCTGCTCATAGACACTAAGGAGGAGAAGGGTATTTGCTGTCTATCCACACTGTGTATGACAGGGAAATGGGTGTATTTCTCTCCCCTTACATAAAATGCTCTCTTTTGAATTATCCAAAAGTCCTTCATTCTAAAACAGGAAAGCTGATTCTTTTTTTTTTTTTTTCTTTTTTGAGACAGTGTCATTATGTTGCCCTCAGTAGACTGCCATGGCAACACAGCTCACAGCAACCTCAAAGTCTTGGGCTTAAGTGATTCTCTTGCCTCAACCTCCTGAGTAGCTGGGACTACAGGTGCCTGCCACAACGCCTGGCTGTTTTTGGTTGCAGTTGTTGTTGTTGTTTAGCAGGCCTGGGCTGGGCTCTAACCCACCAGCCTCTAGAACACAGAAGAATTTAACAGGATAACAGTGGCTGGTGCCCTACTCCCTGAGCTATGGGTGCCAAGCCGGGAAAGCTAATTCTTTACATAGGGGAATTTACTCTCTGGTTCTTCCCTGGGCCTGTCTGGGGAGAAGAGGGAGGCTGATGACCTAAACAGGAGCTAACTGCCCCTATTGCTGTTCACCCTTTTTTATGACATCACAAGCTCAAGCTGTAACCTTGTACCTTTCCAATGGCCTTTCATCCTAAAAGTCTTCAACTTGCCACATGTGTATGACCTCATCAGTGTACTTATGTGAGAATGTAGAAAGTGATATGAGCTCTCCCCAGATGACTCTTCCCACCTGAACCTGACAGGTAATAGCTGTCTTTCAGAGCGAGGTTCAAACTGAGATCTTTCAGAAAGCCACATCCTTTGTGTATACGTGGTAGAATTAATTTTCAGCATGCTGCTTTCTAAGAGAAACCTGTGCATGCCTGTTCACTGACTGCTTCCTCTTTGTTGCTTCATCTGAGTTAATGTTTAAATGCACAGGATTATGAGTGATTCTAAAGGTGTACTTCTAACTACAGAATATGTCTCAGTTTGTATTGACATTCAATCAAGAAACAGCACTTTCTGTCATTCCACCATAGAAATCCAAATTAAACATTCTCCTTTTTTTCTGTATCATATATCAGGTCATAAAATGTGTGAAATAATAATGGAATATTCTAGAAACTATAAAGTATTTTGTTGTATATTTCTTCCCTTCAAGATTTACTGTCTTTAAAGACAATGTTCTGGGTTCATCAGACTGTCTTTGTCAGACTAAAACTATGCTCAGCAGCTGAAATTTAAAATCTCAGTTCTTGTCCTATCCCTCCCTGGCGGTGTGGCCGGAAATGGGCCAGTCTCCATCTCTGGACAGGAAGAGATTAGCCTGGTCAGGGGGCCAGCATCTGCCAAGCACCAGAATCCAGCAAGGGGACTTTGAAAAATGCCATATGAATTTTAATCTTGGGGTTGTAGCTAGAGAAACTGCATTTGTAAAATATATTTTAAATTGTTTTTAATTTTAAAAATATATGTGCACTCTTAGTCTATTTACTTAGCTTTACTGTTTACACAGAGCCAAAATGCCACTGCTGTTACCCTGTTAAATTCTTCTGCTTTCTCAATCAGGACTGAGTTGTGAATATTTCTTCTTCCTACAGGGTGAATCAGTGAAATATTTCTTGGATAACTTGGACCGGATCGGTCAGCTGGTGAGTAAAGACCCCCACTCTGAGAATCAGGACTACAAAACATTTTTGTTGAGACTAAAGCAGAGTAGTAAGGGCTTTATCTGTACCTACAGCCGTACTTGAGATTACTATGAATAGTAATGTCACGCCTCCCTTAGCTTGAGACTTTGTCTCAGAGCAAGGGGGGAGAATTTGCTCCATAGGAATCCTTTTGCCCAAATCACTATGAAGGAAAACAGTGAAGTTCTTCATTGAAAGCAGGACTTCCTTTGACTTTTTCTTATGGAAAATTTAAAATAGATATACAGATACACAAATATACAAAATAGATAGTATAATGGAAACAAGGTGCAACAATTACCACTCATGACCAGTATTGTTTCATCAAGCCTACTCCCACCACCAGGAACAAATCCATCATCATACCATTTCATGAATAATATTTTAGAGAGTATCTCTAAAAGATAAGACTCTAAAAATCATAACCATGATACCATATCACTCCTAAAATATTAGCAGTAATCTAATAATGTCAACCAATATCCAGTCAGTTTTGAGGTTCCTCCCAATTATCTCATTAATGTCTTAATACTAGTTCATTTTAGCTATTTGACGAATCCGTATAAGGTCCTGATAAGTCCACACATTGCAATTGGTCTACGTAATATGTCACTTACATTTCTTTTAAACTACAGCTTTCTCTCTCCATATTGTACTCTCTTTAAACTTATTTATTGAATTAACTGAATTATTTATCCTGTATGGTTTCTTATAGTCCGAACTTTGCTACTTTACCCCTGTAATGTTAGTGAAGATGTTTCTCTGTCTCCTACACACCCTATAGATGGTAGTTAGACCTATAGATAGAGGCTTAATCACATCCCTGTTTGTTTTTTGGTAAAACTGTTGCCTAAATGGCCGTGTGCACTAGTCACTGGAGGATTTTTAATAGTGCAAAATCAGAGTAGTTTAAGAGTTATTGCAGTTGCCTGTGTGTTATTAAAGACTTTACGAGTTTTCCAAGAATAACATATTAAATATATTGCAAACTAAATTTAAATAGCATTGCAAAACCTAAATTAGTTCATAGTAAGGCTTTGGAAGGCTTTGTGCTTCGGAAGCTAGCAAAATAACAAAATATGCATCTGTGGTATGGAAATAAAAAGATGATAAATTTCCTTTGGAGAAGAAAATTGATGTGGTTTTACACTGGGGCCTAATAGTGAGTGTTCTGATAATGTTTCCTCAGACTAAGGAGCCTCCATTCATTTTGAGTAAAAGTATTTAATTCTTTCATTTTCTGTTTCACAGTATATTTATAAATTTGTAAATAAAATTTGCTTTTGGGGGCAGCGCCTGTGGCTCAAGGAGTAAGGCACCAGCCCTATATGCCGGAAGTGGCGGGTTCAAACCCAGCCCCTGCCAAAAACTGCAACCAAAAAAAAAATTTTTTTTTGCTTTTGGTATTTGGTTTATCTTATGAAAGTCAGTCTAACTCCTTTCCTCTGCCCTTTTTACCATCTTTTTGTTCTTACTTTCTCATGTTCTTTCTCCCTTATCCTATCCTATATTTACAGAATTACTTTCCTAGTAAGCAAGACATCCTGCTTGCTAGGAAAGCCACCAAGGGGATTGTGGAACATGACTTCGTCATTAAAAAAATCCCTTTCAAGATGGTGGATGTGGGCGGCCAGCGGTCTCAGCGCCAAAAGTGGTTCCAGTGCTTTGATGGGATCACATCTATCCTATTCATGGTGTCCTCCAGTGAGTATGACCAGGTCCTCATGGAGGACAGGCGCACCAACCGGCTGGTGGAGTCAATGAACATCTTTGAGACAATAGTCAACAACAAGCTCTTCTTCAATGTCTCTATCATCCTATTCCTCAACAAGACAGACCTCTTGGTGGAGAAGGTGAAGACGGTCAGCATCCAGAAGCACTTCTCAGATTTCAGAGGCGACCCACACAGGCTGGAAGATGTCCAGCGCTACTTGGTCCAGTGTTTCGACAGGAAGAGACGGAATCGCAGTAAGCCACTCTTCCACCACTTCACTACCGCCATAGACACTGAGAATATCCGCTTCGTGTTTCATGCTGTGAAGGACACAATCCTGCAAGAGAATCTGAAAGATATCATGTTGCAATGAAGGGAAGGCCTCTCTTGCTGTCATCCCTGAACAGCCTGCACGGCTGTTGGTCAGATCGCTTTGGTGTATATCATCATCCATGTGGTTCTGGAGTGGGTTTCTCAGATGGCTGCCATCGCATGCCTGGCTCAAGAATACTGTCAAACCAGCCAAGCCAACAAGCTCTAGGCAGACAGGCACGGAAACTTTGATGTTAGCTACTGAATCCTGGGGACGAGTGAAACTACTGAAAATTCAAGTGATCGCTTTGGTGTTAATGTGTAATACCTAATAACACAGCGTTTTTTCCTTTTTTCAGAAATGTTATTCTTTCTGACACAATTCAGTCGAAGAGTGTGTGTGTATGCACACATATGCTCTCTCTTTAATGACAGAAACACAAAAACCAGCCAGCCTTGCAGATGGCTTTTCTAACTTGCAGTTCTTCACTGAGACAAACTAACCTGAAAGCTTTGCTTAATTGTAGCTTCTGAGATCAAATGCACGCCGATGCTGCTAATCAGAGTGCCCAGGCCTGGCCCTACAGCCCAACCATAGTGTCTGAATGCCATCTCCCAAAGAGAACACATTGCCTTTTAAAACACTTGTGCCAATTTCCTAAGAGACCTTAGCCCAAGCCTATTAGATTGAGCTGAGGAACTATACCAAGGATACCTTCCCATCATTGAAGACAGGATTGGGAGTTTTGTAGGACTGAACTGGCTTTAATGCCCCTCTAGCGTGCTTGGCTCCTCCTGCCCTGCCAGATTGCCCAGCAGCACAGCGTGGAGTAGAGTGGAGACAGGGACACTGACAGTGAATGTCTATCTGTATGCACACAGTGGTGCTTTTCACTTAACTCCCTCTCACTCCTCCCACCCAGTGGCAAAGACACACAAACCAAGTAGCCTTGCGGATGACTTTGCCATCTTCCTCGCAAGTCATCTTCTGACACCTCAGTTGGCAGCATGTGGCTTTCCCTCCTTTTGGAAATAGTAGGAAATTTCATTTTCCTCTTTTGAGGCTTCTGAAAGCTAGCAAGACTACTAGCAGAGCTTTTGTTAATGCTACAGCTGCTTGGTGAGTTTTTAACAGTTGACCTTTTGGAAAGCCCACAAAGTGGAGAAATCTGAGTTTCTCCAAACTGCCGCTACACCAGTGCCTTTGGACAGCCAGTCTCTATTCTCAGCTCCCTTTTAAATCTGATTTTTTTTTTTTTAATAGACAGTCTCACCTTGTCTCCCTTGGTAAAGTGCTATGGCATCATAGCTCACAGCAACCTCCAGCTCTTGGGCTTAGGCAACTCTCTTGCCTCAGCCTCCCAAGTAGCTGGGACTACAGGCACGCACTATAATGCCCAGTTTTTTTTGGTTGCAGTTTGGCTGGGGCTGGGTTCAAACCCACCACCCTCAGTATATTGGGGCCGGCACCCTACTCACTGAGCCACAGGCACCGCCCTAAGTCTGATTCTTATCAATGTCTCTTGCTTCTATTACTGTTTACACAGAACAGTAAACACTATCACGATACAGCTGGGGGGGAGGAACCCTCAGAAGCCTGTGAATGTTGGTATGAGCTGGTAAATCTTAAGTCCATTTGACTCATCCAGTTACCTGCCAGGTGTCTTTCACTGTGTTTAAAAATACATTGCATTCCAAACTGGTCCCCGCTGTGCATTACTCTACTAAAATGTGTCTGGTATGTTTGAGACTTAAGAGAGAAGGAAAAGCTTCCTCTTAACTAGTACCCAAGTGTTACTGTGGCTTAACACACTAGGGGCCTTGTCCTGAGGCCATATACTGTTATGACCCTGTGCTTCTTTTGCATTTCACTCTCAGCTTGTTTTCAGCAGCCAGTTAAACATTAATCTTGGGGCAGATGCCAAACCAGAAGAAGAGGGAGGACTAAAACTTGCTTCTGAATCATCCTTGTTATCACGCTTTAATTAGGAGACAACATGGAATTCTCTTTCTCTTTTGGTGCTTAAGGGTTTATGTCAATGTTTACTGGGCTTTTGGGTCTTTTTTTGGCTGGAAAAAAAAAGTTGCTGTTTTTATATTGCTTCCTATAGCTCTTCACAAAATGAAAGGATGTGACCCGGGATTAGTGCTGATGACCATATTTTGCAGGAAAAAAGATTATTCTTGGTAGGATTCCCCAGGATTGCCTCAGATCACATATTCAGTTTTCAGCAGCAAGAGCCAGTGAGCTTCGGGTACCCCAGTCAGTTTCTGTGTCATTCATCTGTTAGACTTCAGAGCCCAAAAGAAGGGCAAGCTGTTCCCCCACCAACCTGCAAATCCTCTTTACAATTGTGTTGAAGATCACTACCCTCAGGACTGGCATCACTGGGGGAATCATTTGAAACCCTTTACTGAAGAGCATAGGTCAGCCTTGCCAGTGAGTGCTTTTTTCCTTTAACAATTTTGGTATATTTACTAGTCACTTTCAAACCTGGAAGCATGACAATAATTAGCTTTCATGGCTTCTTTTTAGGCAGGAAGCAGGGTGGGATGGCCAGAAGACCAGTGCCCAGGACCAGCTCAGCCCCTGACCCCACCCCCTGATCACACACTTGGCTTTGCTGAGCCTGGACTGCCTCCTCTTTCCAGTGATCAGAATGAATTAGAACACCTTTAAAGACCGCCCCCCACTCTAAATTTTGTAATGTATCGTAATTGCAGAAGATAACTATTCGCAAGGTGAAACTGAACTCATTTACAACTTTTCTACACAAAGATTATAGTCATTTTTTTCTCTAAAACTTTAGGCTTTTGTATTTTTTTATTTTAGTTTCACTGTTAATCCTTGATTATTGTCTTTTTTATTGAGATGTTGGAGAAGTAGGAGGTATTTGTTCCTGGTCTACTATTGCAAAAATGTAATAATAAACTTCCTGAAAATAAGATATTTTCCTTGTAATTACACTGTTTACACATAAGAACACATGTGGGCTTTTTACTGAAATATATTTTTAGCTATTTGTAGAGAAATTGTTTTCAAAGATTTTGAATCTTAGCTCCATAATTTATAGAGATCTTATTCTTGTAATTTTTCTACTTCTTTGACAAAAGAAAAGTGAGTCAGATTATTTTACCTCCAAGATCAAAAAAACTAATCTTGAAACAGGATTGTGACTTCACTTGGGGGTCCTGGGAACAGACATCTAAGGACTTGGCATTATAAGGTAAGGGCTCCCATTAGAATGATAGTCATCTGAGTCAGTTGCTCTTGGTTACCTTCTTCTGCACATGGTGTTAGCATGGACTGGGAGGGTATGGTTTGAAGATGTGACCACCTTTAGTCTCTTTATATTTATTAAAATACAGCTTTAAATTTTATTTTTTTGCTTAATATAAAATATTACCAGGTATTCAAAACCAACACTAAATTAATTTTTCATTCCCCAAAACATCAGAGCAAATAACTCGAGTCCTAATTTTATTTGAAGGTGGTTCATTATTTATTATTCACAGTTCACAGTTTTTATTAGAAGGTGGTTCATTATTTATTATTCACAGTTCACAGTTTTTATTACCACATATCAAACAAAACCTAGCATTAGGAGAACCATTATAAATCGGTTTTGAACGAAAGCCTCTGGAACACATCTTCAGAGTATACGTAATAGCAGAATATACACATGAAGACATGCATTGTATGTGAGAATGAGAAGCCCTGCTGCCTGGAACCAGGAAGCCCCAAGGGGAAAGACCTGGTGATGACATTGTCCAGAGACCCAGAGACCAGAGGAGCTCCAGGGAATGGTGGGATAGAGGTTCTGTCATTGCAGGGATTATTGTTCCAGCCATAAAATGAAGAGACCACTCACACAAAACATGAACACCTTCCAGTCGTCAGCATGATTTGTGATCAGAGCTCACTCGTGCTCAAAATTCTGCCCTCACCGGGTCTTCTGCACAATTGGGCATCTCCTCTCTTTCCCAAATAAGCAGGTTTCTAAAAAGAGGAGCGTAGATATTTGGTGCCATTGCCTGTGTGTGGCTGGTGAGGGCTTGAACTGACCACAGGTAGGAAAGACAGAAACCTCTCCAGAAAATTGCCAGCCATCAGCACACTCTCTCAACTGTCCATATGGCTGGTCTGTGGGCTGAGCTCTTTGAGTTTCAATTTCTCTTTTGTCAAAGCTGGACAGCATAGCAATTCTCAGCTCTGGGGACACATTCAGATCCTCTGAGGAGTTTTTAGGCAGGCCCTAGTGATATGAACAGCATGCAGAGACTTCCTACTGTCCCAGGCGACTTTTATATATAGATAGGGTTGTGAAGCACTGAATAGATATTTGTGGCAGTGCCTGCCGTCTTTGAGGGCTTCTGTGTTCAGCATGGTGACAATTGTATTTCACCGCATCGTGAGCCACCAGGTCTTCCCCACACTGTGACTAGCACCTGCCTCAAGAAGAAATGCAGTGAAGGTGGGTTTTCTTTTACTATTTAAGAAGCAAAGAGAGGAAGTCCTTGCTTTAAAAAAAAAAAAAAAAAAAAACACTTTCACAGCATGTGTGCAGCCCTTTCGGATTTTTGGTACCATTCTCTCTGTAAGGTATGTCAGATGTGCTTAACAGGCTCACTCTGAAGGGATTCCCTGAAATTTTGGAAGCTTTGCTCTGAAGTAAAAGACGGTCTATTTTAAGGCTTATTTTATTTGCATTCCAGACCCAGGGAGAGGTGATCCTTAAATATGTGATCCTTGTGTTTCCCTGATGTGGCATTTAGGAGAGCTTGCCCTGGCCCAAGAGTTGGGAGTAGGCCTGTAGCTTGGGCTTAGATCCAGTGTATAGACAGCACCAGAGGAGAGGAGTGACACAGCATGGACTGGAAGAGTATGGCATTAGTGACCTTAGCCTCTGAATCTTGTACTCCTTTTGTGAGGTGTTGCATTGAACCTTGAAGAGAAAAGTGTGTGTTTCTCTGAGAAAAGAGCTCATTTAGTTCAGAAGGTAAAAACCACCATGTGACCAGGCCTTGGTGACAGCTGAGACTCTAGTTTACCCTTGTGTTCAAAGAAAAGTATGGTCTGAATTTTGAGGTGGAGCAGAGCCCAAAGGGTGTGGATGTACCAATCCTGCTTCTGCGGTCCGTCTTGTGCATTCTCCTCTAGAAAGAAGGCTTGGAGACCTTCTCTCACAGCTCCTCTCTCTCCCTGCAGAACTCTCTAAAATGTGAAAGCAGGTTATTCTTTAGGGTTCAGAATGGCATAGTGAAATAGGTAGATTTGAGTTCCAAACTGCAGTGTTGGTATCTCTTTAGGTGAAAACTTACTTCAAACCACAAACAGGTTACTAATTGCCTGAGACATCCCCTGTACCCCTTCTCTGCTCAGCTGTGTCTGATGCTTCCCAGGAGAGCGGCTCCTTTGAATAGACTCCTGTGCTGGTTGGGTCTGCTGACTTTGAAGGCTGTGACCACACCTCCAAGCTATGAACCTGGAGGACCTGAGGGCTCTAAGAATAGCTGTGCTTGCCATGCATAGGACATTGTTTAACCCACATTTTGCTTTATTAGACCCTTGGAGAACTGAACTTTTCTCAGCATTTGAATTTCCTATTCAAAGGGTGCATTCCCAAAACACAACAAGAGGAAGCAGCATGTGACTGGAAATAAGTGAGAGCTTGTGATATTCATTCTTAGGGATTGGTGTCCATGTGTAGGGAGGAATGGGAAGTGGGATACAACTCAGAAATAGACCATGGCTCCTGCTCAGCAAAGCAGACTACACATTGGGGCAACGGCATCTCTCTGCCAAGGTGTGGTATGGCTAAGAACAAGGCGAGAATTGATCTTGTATTTAACCCTGACATTTGGACATTCATACCTCTTAACATGTCATTGTGAGTTCTTTGCTTTGAGAGACCTTGAAGACCTTTTATCTGGTCAATCACACATGTTCTAGGAGTTACACTGGCAAGTGGCTCTGCTGCTTGCTCCATAGTAAAAGTGGAAATTTAGCCTGAAAATGAAGTGCTATGTCTTTGAGCTGGTTATACAAGATAGTTTTTCTCTTCAGGTGGTTTTCTTTTTGATATGTATGTAACACAAACCAAAGCGAAACACTAGAACAGCTACTTTGAGGTCCTGATTAGCCTGAATCTCCTTCTAGGGCAAGGACAGCCTGGTCTCAGGTGAGCAGGGTGGGTGGTAGAAGGGCTCTGCCGTCCTTAGCCTGGTCCTGCCCGATGACAGTAAGAGCTATTGTTCCAGCCTGTCACTTGGGCACT